AGACGAACGCGACGCTCGGAGCTGCGTGCGATGCGAAGGAGGCGACCCCGTCGGTGGCTGGATCGGATGTGGGCAGTACGTGTCGAAATGGTCGGTCGATCAATGGTGGCGATAGGATGAACGCGCTCGCGTTGCGTGTGGCAGCGTGCGTAGGTGGTGCGTTTGGTGTTTGTGTTTGTGTTTGTGTTTGTTTGTTTGTTGTTGGTCTTGATTGTGTGTTTGTTGGTGGCGATGGTGTTCAGCCTTCCCATATAGTCTAGGCGGTTAGGATAGCTGGCTCTCACCCAGCAGACCCGGGTTCGAGTCCCGGTGTGGGAACATCTTTTGCTCTTCTTTGCTGCTTCTCCACTCTTCTTTTCGCCGCTTTGGGCGTTCGTCACAGTCTCGGTGCCGTGCTGACCCGCTGCTACATCCCATCCACGGATCCAACCATGCTCGCACGACCAGGAGGTACTCGAGTCTGTCCGGCCATTGGTCGGCGCGTGCAGGTCTACTTGTCGGCGCTGGCCACCGTGCGGAAACGCGTGCGAGCGAGCAGCTCAATGAAGCCGCGAGAGAGCTGGTCGACCAGGCGAGCTGCGGTGCGAGCAGACGAACGCGACGCTCGGAGCTGCGTGCGATGCGAAGGAGGCGACCCCGTCGGTGGCTGGATCGGATGTGGGCAGTACGTGTCGAAATGGTCGGTCGATCAATGGTGGCGATAGGATGAACGCGCTCGCGTTGCGTGTGGCAGCGTGCGTAGGTGGTGCGTTTGGTGTTTGTGTTTGTTTGTTGTTGGCCTTGATTGTGTGTTTGTTGGTGGCGATGGTGTTCAGCCTTCCCATATAGTCTAGGCGGTTAGGATAGCTGGCTCTCACCCAGCAGACCCGGGTTCGAGTCCCGGTGTGGGAACATCTTTTGCTCTTCTTTGCTGCTTCTCCACTCTTCTTTTCGCCGCTTTGGGCGTTCGTCACAGTCTCGGTGCCGTGCTGACCCGCTGCTACATCCCATCCACGGATCCAACCATGCTCGCACGACCAGGAGGTACTCGAGTCTGTCCGGCCATTGGTCGGCGCGTGCAGGTCTACTTGTCGGCGCTGGCCACCGTGCGGAAACGCGTGCGAGCGAGCAGCTCAATGAAGCCGCGAGAGAGCTGGTCGACCAGGCGAGCTGCGGTGCGAGCAGACGAACGCGACGCTCGGAGCTGCGTGCGATGCGAAGGAGGCGACCCCGTCGGTGGCTGGATCGGATGTGGGCAGTACGTGTCGAAATGGTCGGTCGATCAATGGTGGCGATAGGATGAACGCGCTCGCGTTGCGTGTGGCAGCGTGCGTAGGTGGTGCGTTTGGTGTTTGTGTTTGTGTTTGTGTTTGTTTGTTTGTTGTTGGTCTTGATTGTGTGTTTGTTGGTGGCGATGGTGTTCAGCCTTCCCATATAGTCTAGGCGGTTAGGATAGCTGGCTCTCACCCAGCAGACCCGGGTTCGAGTCCCGGTGTGGGAACATCTTTTGCTCTTCTTTGCTGCTTCTCCACTCTTCTTTTCGCCGCTTTGGGCGTTCGTCACAGTCTCGGTGCCGTGCTGACCCGCTGCTACATCCCATCCACGGATCCAACCATGCTCGCACGACCAGGAGGTACTCGAGTCTGTCCGGCCATTGGTCGGCGCGTGCAGGCCTACTTGTCGGCGCTGGCCACCGTGCGGAAACGCGTGCGAGCAGCTCAATGAAGCCGCGAGAGAGCTGGTCGACCAGGCGAGCTGCGGTGCGAGCAGACGAACGCGACGCTCGGAGCTGCGTGCGATGCGAAGGAGGCGACCCCGTCGGTGGCTGGATCGGATGTGGGCAGTACGTGTCGAAATGGTCGGTCGATCAATGGTGGCGATAGGATGAACGCGCTCGCGTTGCGTGTGGCAGCGTGCGTAGGTGGTGCGTTTGGTGTTTGTGTTTGTGTTTGTGTTTGTTTGTTGTTGGTCTTGATTGTGTGTTTGTTGGTGGCGATGGTGTTCAGCCTTCCCATATAGTCTAGGCGGTTAGGATAGCTGGCTCTCACCCAGCAGACCCGGGTTCGAGTCCCGGTGTGGGAACATCTTTTGCTCTTCTTTGCTGCTTCTCCACTCTTCTTTTCGCCGCTTTGGGCGTTCGTCACAGTCTCGGTGCCGTGCTGACCCGCTGCTACATCCCATCCACGGATCCAACCATGCTCGCACGACCAGGAGGTACTCGAGTCTGTCCGGCCATTGGTCGGCGCGTGCAGGCCTACTTGTCGGCGCTGGCCACCGTGCGGAAACGCGTGCGAGCGAGCAGCTCAATGAAGCCGCGAGAGAGCTGGTCGACCAGGCGAGCTGCGGTGCGAGCAGACGAACGCGACGCTCGGAGCTGCGTGCGATGCGAAGGAGGCGACCCCGTCGGTGGCTGGATCGGATGTGGGCAGTACGTGTCGAAATGGTCGGTCGATCAATGGTGGCGATAGGATGAACGCGCTCGCGTTGCGTGTGGCAGCGTGCGTAGGTGGTGCGTTTGGTGTTTGTGTTTGTTTGTTGTTGGCCTTGATTGTGTGTTTGTTGGTGGCGATGGTGTTCAGCCTTCCCATATAGTCTAGGCGGTTAGGATAGCTGGCTCTCACCCAGCAGACCCGGGTCGAGTCCCGGTGTGGGAACATCTTTTGCTCTTCTTTGCTGCTTCTCCACTCTTGTTTTCGCCGCTTTGGGCGTTCGTCACAGTCTCGGTGCCGTGCTGACCCGCTGCTACATCCCATCCACGGATCCAACCATGCTCGCACGACCAGGAGGTACTCGAGTCTGTCCGGCCATTGGTCGGCGCGTGCAGGCCTACTTGTCGGCGCTGGCCACCGTGCGGAAACGCGTGCGAGCGAGCAGCTCAATGAAGCCGCGAGAGAGCTGGTCGACCAGGCGAGCTGCGGTGCGAGCAGACGAACGCGACGCTCGGAGCTGCGTGCGATGCGAAGGAGGCGACCCCGTCGGTGGCTGGATCGGATGTGGGCAGTACGTGTCGAAATGGTCGGTCGATCAATGGTGGCGATAGGATGAACGCGCTCGCGTTGCGTGTGGCAGCGTGCGTAGGTGGTGCGTTTGGTGTTTGTGTTTGTGTTTGTTTGTTGTTGGTCTTGATTGTGTGTTTGTTGGTGGCGATGGTGTTCAGCCTTCCCATATAGTCTAGGCGGTTAGGATAGCTGGCTCTCACCCAGCAGACCCGGGTTCGAGTCCCGGTGTGGGAACATCTTTTGCTCTTCTTTGCTGCTTCTCCACTCTTGTTTTCGCCGCTTTGGGCGTTCGTCACAGTCTCGGTGCCGTGCTGACCCGCTGCTACATCCCATCCACGGATCCAACCATGCTCGCACGACCAGGAGGTACTCGAGTCTGTCCGGCCATTGGTCGGCGCGTGCAGGCCTACTTGTCGGCGCTGGCCACCGTGCGGAAACGCGTGCGAGCGAGCAGCTCAATGAAGCCGCGAGAGAGCTGGTCGACCAGGCGAGCTGCGGTGCGAGCAGACGAACGCGACGCTCGGAGCTGCGTGCGATGCGAAGGAGGCGACCCCGTCGGTGGCTGGATCGGATGTGGGCAGTACGTGTCGAAATGGTCGGTCGATCAATGGTGGCGATAGGATGAACGCGCTCGCGTTGCGTGTGGCAGCGTGCGTAGGTGGTGCGTTTGGTGTTTGTGTTTGTGTTTGTTTGTTGTTGGTCTTGATTGTGTGTTTGTTGGTGGCGATGGTGTTCAGCCTTCCCATATAGTCTAGGCGGTTAGGATAGCTGGCTCTCACCCAGCAGACCCGGGTCGAGTCCCGGTGTGGGAACATCTTTTGCTCTTCTTTGCTGCTTCTCCACTCTTGTTTTCGCCGCTTTGGGCGTTCGTCACAGTCTCGGTGCCGTGCTGACCCGCTGCTACATCCCATCCACGGATCCAACCATGCTCGCACGACCAGGAGGTACTCGAGTCTGTCCGGCCATTGGTCGGCGCGTGCAGGCCTACTTGTCGGCGCTGGCCACCGTGCGGAAACGCGTGCGAGCGAGCAGCTCAATGAAGCCGCGAGAGAGCTGGTCGACCAGGCGAGCTGCGGTGCGAGCAGACGAACGCGACGCTCGGAGCTGCGTGCGATGCGAAGGAGGCGACCCGATCGGTGGCTGGATCGGATGTGGGCAGTACGTGTCGAAATGGTCGGTCGATCAATGGTGGCGATAGGATGAACGCGCTCGCGTTGCGTGTGGCAGCGTGCGTAGGTGGTGCGTTTGGTGTTTGTGTTTGTGTTTGTGTTTGTTTGTTGTTGGCCTTGATTGTGTGTTTGTTGGTGGCGATGGTGTTCAGCCTTCCCATATAGTCTAGGCGGTTAGGATAGCTGGCTCTCACCCAGCAGACCCGGGTCGAGTCCCGGTGTGGGAACATCTTTTGCTCTTCTTTGCTGCTTCTCCACTCTTCTTTTCGCCGCTTTGGGCGTTCGTCACAGTCTCGGTGCCGTGCTGACCCGCTGCTACATCCCATCCACGGATCCAACCATGCTCGCACGACCAGGAGGTACTCGAGTCTGTCCGGCCATTGGTCGGCGCGTGCAGGCCTACTTGTCGGCGCTGGCCACCGTGCGGAAACGCGTGCGAGCGAGCAGCTCAATGAAGCCGCGAGAGAGCTGGTCGACCAGGCGAGCTGCGGTGCGAGCAGACGAACGCGACGCTCGGAGCTGCGTGCGATGCGAAGGAGGCGACCCGATCGGTGGCTGGATCGGATGTGGGCAGTACGTGTCGAAATGGTCGGTCGATCAATGGTGGCGATAGGATGAACGCGCTCGCGTTGCGTGTGGCAGCGTGCGTAGGTGGTGCGTTTGGTGTTTGGTGTTTGTGTTT